ATAATAAATCAAGTGGTAAGTATTTAAACAATTGAATATTGATAATATTCGTGAAAAAATTTTTCAACATGACGCACGTAAGTAAAATTAGTTCCCTAAAATATTATTAAAATAATCATAAAACCACTATTTGAACGCAAATATTAATATTAATATTGAAATTTTATAATAATCTTACATTTTTGTTTATTTATTTTTAGTCCACTACGATGATTGTTAAGAATGATTTCTCCCATGACGATGCCACGCCAAACAGAGAAGGCGATGAAGTAATTTGTAAATAATTAAAATCGATAGAATTTTTATAATTTTATTTCAGACAGAAAAATTTCTTCAATTTATTCCTACGAAAAATATTAGCAATAAAATGCTAAATTCAATTTATTAGTATGAAAAACATAGCAATACAATGCTAAAAAAATTCATGTATAAAAATCACATCAAAAAAGAGAAAAAACAAGATATAATAAATTTAATAAAAAAAAATACAATTTAAGTGTAAGTAATAATAAGCAAATGATATATTGAAAAAAAAAATTTTTTTATTTTTTTTTATAGGATACACAGTCTACAGCTGTCAAAATTTATTTATTATTAAAAAAAAAACAACATAGTGAATATCATGGAACAATTGTACGTATACATTTTTTACTAATATTTACTAATAACTTATTTTTAGAGACAAAATTAAACAAAATCTTCAAAAAAAAAATTAAAATCTTCCAATTTCAAAAACCACCAAAAGATATAATGAAGAAAAAAAATAATAATCAATTGTAAGTACTACATTAATGAAAATAAAAGTCGTCTACATTAATTTCTGTGTTTTATTGATAATTTCAATATTTCACTGGAGATTTTATTTTCAAATAATAGTTATTTTCGTATCAATTTTCTGCTTCTGCGCATAAACACCTTCACTGTTTTACAAAACAAAAATTGGTTAGGTACAAAAAATGTGATCAATTGAATCATTTAACAACAAAATGTACAACTAAGATTATAAAGGGGTTGCAAGTAAATTGGTGTATCGTGATAGTCAATTATGATTTTCTTAAACATCCAGCAGAACCAGCCAACCACTTCAAGCTAAACACTCCAGAACAGCTCCAGAAAATGAAATTATGTGTTACACAAACTCTTGATTGATACAAGAACAATCGTATGAAAAAATGGTGATATAGTGTTATAACATTTGAAATTTATTTATGGAACACACAATCAACAGCAACCAAAATATATTTAATACTAAAACAACATAATGTTGTAAATATCATGAAACAATTATACGTATACGTTTTTTACTAATAACTTATTTTTAGAGACAAAATTAAACAGAACCCAAGAAAAAGGAACAAAAATCCGCCAATTTCTAAAACGAACAAAAATAATGTACACAAAGACAGTCGTATGAAAAAGTAATTATAACATTTAAAATTATGTTAATTATTTTTGCAAAAACAACTTGAAAAACCATCATGAACGATTCTAAATGACAGAAGAAGCCCCCCAAATGCAGGTAATTAATATAATATTTTATAGTTTATTTATTGATATTTTTGTGAACTTTATTAATAAAGTAATTGTAAAATATTGAAAAATATTTAATGTTTTTATCCTTTGTTGACGTTTTTATTTTTAACAATCAAAAAAAAGATTATTAAACTATCAATAAAGTGAGGTTATGTTCGTTAGACTTTTTAACACAAAATT